GCTCCTTCAGCTACTACTACTAATAAGAACTAGTTTATGAGGTTAACTATTAACTTATGCTTTCAAATAATATTAATAATTTCAAACGTTTCCTGTTTCAAGGGCTATAAATAATTTTTTTTTTCTTAAGGTTAAGCAAAACATAGTTTTGCATTCTGCTGTCCCGCTGAGGTTATTTAGCATGTTATTTAGTACGCATCAATGAATAAACTTTAAATGATGGGGTAAACGTAAGCAAAAATAGCGTGAGAATCAAAAGACAATGATGTATCCAGTAGCTGTTCCAGATAAATAGTTTTAATAGGATCTTTGCTTAATTTCAGATGAAATAGAAATCTTAGGAAATTTAGTTCTGCTGGAGCTAAACTATGCAGTAATACCCAGTGAAATGGATAATCTATATATTACTTAAACTGTCTTTTACAGTAATTTCAACTTACTGAAATCATTTTTACATTTCTTTTAATAAATGATTTAACAAGAAAACATTACATGTGTAATAGCCAATACAAGAGGAAGGCTTTCATCTCTTGCTTTTTAAAAGAAAAAAATGATGAATCCAAATCTAAAGCAGTTCCATTTTAATTAAAGAGTATAGTATTTTTTAATCAAATTTGTTAAGTGTGTTTCTTACCTAACGCCAATGATGGCTTAGCTCAACTAACTAAAAGGAAGCCACATTCTTTAACTCTGTGTGTGCACGTGGTGGGGGGTGTGTGTTATGGTAAATTCCATTACCTGTGACTTCTAAATTATTTCTGAGTCCTTGCTTCAAGACGTTCATTCGTGTTTCTTCTATATCAATCTAATCACATTTCTACTCCTGGCATATGTTTTTTCTTATCTCTATCCTGTGTATTTTGATATTTTAAAGAAAAAAATCTTCATAAAAATTCCCTAGAAATAATTTACAGGGCTAATGAGTTTGTAGGTCTTTTAGACAGTTCTACATTAGAATCACATTAATATTCTCTTCCTTTTTATAAGGCTTGAAGTAAATCCCATGACACTAGAAGAATTTAGCCACTGATTACTTGCGATTGGTTCCTGGTGATTTGCTCTTAATAATTTTCAGTTGAATTTAATGAAAGTATGATTCCTGAAATGCTGCTTCATTAAAATTGCATCTTTTCCCCTTTAAGTGTGGTTTCGGTCATTTCACCCATTTTGTGGTGTGTTTTTCTCCCCCTTAAAAAGTAATGATTGAGAAAGCAGAAATAATTACGAATAGCACTTTAGTTCTTCCTAGAACTCACCCTCAGAGTTTCTCTGAGTGAAATGATCCAAGCTTCACTTCATCTGGATTTTATAATATTATTTTCCAATTTGGTGAGCTTATTTAATATTATATAAAGGGTTAAAACAGAAATACGGTAATTTGGGGTAGCTAAAGGGAAGTGAAAGAATTTGTTGCATATACAAGAGAAGTAAGGTTTATCGGTATGTTTACATATATATATATATATATATATATACGCCCACATACACATTTATTAAGTTATCTGTGCAGCATTTGGAGTTAATTTAACTGAGTTGTGATTTGCAAATGAATATCTACACGGATCCCTTTAAAAATTCCAAATGCAAATGACCACAACTGCAGTAAAATATATTTGCAAATGAATCCTGTTGCTTTATTCATTTATTGTGTAATTACTGCAATCCTTCCCACCTTGTTTTCAGTATTTCTTAATCATTAAGTCGGAAGCATGACAGCAGTGCCAGCCCTGGCATGATTCTCTTTGACTAAAACCTTGTAAATTAACACAATTAGCACAGCATCATCCTGCTAATTAACTTCCAGTGTCTGGTGCAGTGGTTTTGCAAACAAGGAAGAGGGAGTCAGAAGGGAATCAACATGCCATTCTGTTACCAAACTGTGTGCTGTGTTCTGTTAAGCTCAGTAAGTCAAAGCTAGCCATGTCAGAAGCCAGAGTCAGGCAAGGAAGAGCCAAAGGGCTTGGGGGAGGAGCACAGAAGGGAGTCGAAGCTGTCAAAATAGACTGGTAATTCCAAAGGGAGCTTGTGCCACAGATGCTTCCTGTAGACCAGGCCTCCTCCTCATCAAGGCATCTCTGCCAGAGGGCACAAGACAGTTTGCAAAATTCACTTTGGGTAATACAAAAGAGATTAAGGCGGCTTGCTTAATATAGCTGTACCAGAATAGGAAGTGTTCGAACCACGCTGAGATTAGAATGGGATGAGCCAGCATGGGGGGCAGGGGAAGGGGTTCTAGTCCTCTTCTGTAATGAACCACATTTGAGGCTCCCAGGGTGCATTGTCAATCTCCTTGGGCCCTGGTTTCCTCGTCTGTGAAATAAGGTAATTTTTAAAGTCTCTTGAAAATGTAAAATTCAAATGATTCTTTGATTCTAATTGGCTAGTATTTTTTTCTTAAATGAGAGAATATTTATTTTCTAGTTTGCTGCTCGTCAACTTGGCTTCACTTAATAATTCAGCAGAGTATAGAGTGACCCACACGATCATATTATCTAGCTGCACTCTTCTTATGCCACACATGACTTCCTGTAAAAATGTAAAGAGTGAGAATTCAGATTTTCTCTCCCT